GGACATTGTCTACAGACTGGTAGGCCTCAATCACCCTCAATCGTCGCGAATGGTCACGTGCTGACTAAATACCGAGACGTACCCGTATTGGAGACTTCTATGTTGCGGCATTAGCCGTCTGTGTAGGAAACGGGCTCTCTAGCAAAAACTATTTTGTCTACAGAAATTAGTTACTGTGGGGCATATTTCTACCAGCCATGGCAACCACGTAAGCCCAGTAACGAACCAATTTCAGCGTGCCTTTAAGCAAGAGAGCCTAAAAACGTAAAATTTAGGTGAGAACGAACTTATGGGACACCCTGTATGTGCACCTACATACCAATTTTTAGAAGAATCGGTTCAAAAATGTGGGAGTTATTCAAAATTTTATGACGTCACGACACACAAATTTTTTGAAAAATGACTTTTTTGGAAGTTCTAGACCTCGTACGGAAACAAAAATAGCACCATTCGATTCACCGTGAAAAACTGCATCAGATAGACACCTTTTTAGGCCTTAACAACCAACTTCAAAATTTGACCTCACTTGACCTGACCTTGACCTGACCTCGACCTGAAATTCATCCAGAGGTGGCCCATATCACTTATTGAGTGTGCCTATTGAATTCTATGAGTAAAATGACCCATAAAACATGTGTCGCACATGCCCTTTTCTATATTTTGTTTTTGGTGACCTGACCTGACCTGACCTAACCTTGACCTTGACCTCTGAATGATATTGTATGCAACGAATATTGTCTTGGTAGCCTAAGAACACGTTTTGGGCAATCAGTCTCAGTCCATGACTCCATTCTTCGGCAACTACGGTGCAAGGCCGATACTGTAGAAACTTGCAACTTGTACCCTTGACCTGACCTTGACCTTGACCTCAAACTTTGAATTAAGTACATGTTTTTAGTTGTTCGTGATGAGACCTTTCGATTGGCGTTTGAATTTTCCAAATCGGACCATTAGTTCGGGAGATAACAGGGGGGGGGGGGGTAAAATTTACATCCCCCAGCCCCGCGCGTTCGGCTGGAGACCCCAGCCCCGCGCGGGTTAACCCTCGCCGGCACAGGCCATTTTGCGTCCTTCGACGGCACAAGGGGGGGGGGGGTACGACCCCCCCTCGCGTTTGGCCCCTGATCGAGCTAGAGCTTCGCGGAAAAAACGAGCGTGTTGCCCGTCACGAGACGAAGCCGATGATACCCAATTTTAAGGTCCTAGGTCATCGGGTGACCTTCCAGGTCAGGTCAATGACCCGAAAACCGGGAAAATCGGGACCTGTTAGAAAGTCGTAAATTGTGGCTGCAACGTGGTTTTCCGGGGTGCTGATCACGAATATCGTGTTAGTTTTGATCAGAGATGATGTCTTTAAGCATTTAGACCAGGTCGGGTCAGGTCAGGTCAGGTCAGGTCAACCGGTAGGGGTTGTGACGGGTATTCGTAATACGTGTCAACCGCCTCTGGCAGCTTCGTAACATGTTACGAAGTCACCAAAACTACTTCGTAAATGTTCAAATGGTTGCCAAATTCGAATTCAGCTCCAAAAACTAGCCTAGAAACATGTAAAACTCGAAAAAGTGAACCGAGGTCACCCAAGGTCACCAAAGGTCAATGACCTGACCTGACCTTCAGGTGACCTTGACACCCACCGTAATGTATGGGAGCGACATCAAATCACATGTATGAACGTTTGAAACCACAAAAAGCTTGCAAACGCGCGGCTAATGTTAGCCGACATACGCCGAATCGCGATTCCGGTCAAACATGGTCTCGGAAAAGAGGTCACAGGTCAAAGGTCATTGGGGTCAGGGTCATGAAATTTTCAGGGTAGGTGTAAAATTGATCAATGCGAGGGTACTGAAAGTTTCGTCGCGATCAGCCGCTTTTTACGCGAGTTATTCGCGAAAAACCTTAGGGGGGGGGGGGTGCATCAACCCTGTGCCCCCTGTGCCGGCGAGGGTTAAAGTATGCATGCTTCTACATCTTTGTTTTAACCAAGCGTTGTGGACGGGCTACTTGTTTGTAAAAGAAAAAGTGCCTTGTGATACATTATTGCATACAAATAAACCATGAAATTGCAAGGAATGTATAGCTTGTAAAACCGTCTATTTTTATGTGACACGCTAATATCTCCAACTGTGAGTAAGGCACAAGTTACCGTTAATTACACTTCTCCTTGCGCCCTCATAGCTGCATGTTATGAGGGGAGCTGTGGGCTCAGACCGCTCCCAAAGACCAGCCGTACCCGCGCCGGTGCCGTTACCGCTACATTCTGCTGACATCACCAGCCCAGTGGACGTAACACTACTGCACCATACTGCTAAATCATCCCCATTCAGACAGGCGCGCCCGGTGCAGTCATATCTGTTCATAATTCTAGTCTAATTACACGGGATTATACCCTTTCGCCTGTGTCTGGGCGCCCGGTGCGGTTGAAGTAATATCCGCCGGTGCCCCACGCATGTCAAGGCAACAAATGACTATTGCCATCATTCATCCTAGTCCGCGCGGCAGTGACATTAATCGTTAGTCCGGGGTGGCACGAAATGTGACGCTAGTCGCCAAACCTTCCCTGCGAGGTCTCGGGGTCAATGAATACATCACTCCCCCCTCCCACCTCCCTCATGGGAGTGGCTGGGTAGCCGTTTAGTCGAACCAGGCGGGTCCGTGCGGGTCCTCCCATATTTGGCAAGGTCGCGTTGGCAGCGGTAGCGAGCCAGCACGACCGTTGCAAGGTGATGGTGACGCGAGCAATGTGGGACCGTTGGGGCCGCTGACGGGTCTGCAGTGACCTCTGCAACCTCAGAGCGCTGCCACACCACGGTTGATACGTGAGGTGGAGCTGCATGCTGCACCCGATTCACGGTCAGGGCTGCGGTCCGCCCGTCTCTGTTTCGTGAAATAACCCGAAAGTTTTGCGGATACAACGGACAGTCGCACGGGCGCACCAGAGAATGGAACGACAGCCATCTTCGGCCGCAGTCCAGCTGAATTTAGCTTTTGCCGTACTCGACACAAAGGGTGGAGTAGCGGCAGCCAAATCGGACTTTAGAAGCCGAAGGGTCACTAAGTGGCCTTTAGTATTCATAGAAAGCTCGTGTTCTGCTTTATCGATACAATCAGGCTTATTTCACCGGCATTCACTATTACTACGGGGGTAAAGGCCATTCACATTGCATGGACCCGGCGCTGAGAAAGGCCACTGACCCCTGCATGGACAGTATCATGCCCCGTGACGCCGTGACGGTCGCAGTGTAACGTCCAGCGGCCCCACGGCGAGCGTATCCCGTACACCGCCGACGATAACATTCGAGAGCACACTCGTTACCCACTGGGATGTGTATACAATTTAGGTTTATGACGCAATTAGCCCACTCGGATGAATGATCATATTATGAATCGCGGAGAAATGACTCGGGGTGAAGGGTGACCACAGAAACCGGGTCAACGAACATGGGCACCGACTTACGAGCATTAGACATTAGAACCAGTGATACATACTTCCTCACTTGTAACTACACCAATAAATCAGCCGTTTTGTTGATGCAGACAATTAGGATGATATTTTTTTTTTTGAAGAAATTTGTTGAAGTAATAGTTGTGAGATGAATTCTTACCGTTGCTTATCGATAGTTGAATATAATGTTGAATTGTTCCGCTCTACTACTCATGTTATTTCCAGCATCGCCAGTTACGAAAAGACACTTTACCTATTGTTCAAATCACCACACAATTTGTGAGCAGCCAAACGGCTAAACGACACTGACTGAGATGTGATGTTTGTTTTTGTCGTGTCGCCGTCGAAGCGGACACATGTTTCATCTGTATGCAAATATCAGACATTGGGCACCCGATGGTGGCCAATATGTGGGACGACTGAGTGACTGATATGTTGACTGACATGTTGACTGATATACCGGGATGACGGGGAGTTACGGCCGCGCCACAACACCAACAGCGGCTGCACGGCAGCGGGGCGAACCGGTGTCAGATTACTCAGCTACCCAACAGAGCTGATGCAATCGCGGATCGGAGTGGCAGATACTATCAATCAGATTGTATCAATCATCATCCTTTAGTTTGTGTAAAAATGCCACTTTGTGACACATATCGCGTAAGAAGAAACTGGAGGGATGGACAAGTGACACTTGTCTTGCAAGTACACAGACCTTAGAATGGACCTAATGTAATGGACCTTAGAATAAATGTCAAATGATTCCTACACTGTTTTGAATGCCAGCCACCGCTTACCACTGTATTACGAGTAACATGGAAATGAGTCGTAGTCTTCGCACGGCACCACAGTTGTTTTAGAGATGCTTCGGCTCGGCATTATTGGCAAGACACAAAAAGCAGACCTCCATCCTCGTCCTGGCCAGAGTTCAATAACAGCAAGTCATTTTTTCCCGGCTACAACACCGGCTCTTTATAACTCTGGCAAAAGATGATAAAAAGGGCTTTGGAACAGTGCTCGGGTGTCAAGAATCTGCCTCAAATAGCACCAGTTGGGACCCGCATAATGCATGTACTAGCAGAACATGCCAGAGTGCCGAGCCAAACATAGGTAGGGACCGGTCAATAGCTGCTCGAATGACAAAGCCAAAGCTCCTTGCTAGGTGGCGCGGCGCGTGCTTCAAACGGATATGATGTCTTCCTGTTAACATTTAGCCATACTAGGAAAATCTGAAGTGCAACACCAAGCGTCACTTGATCTCAAAACAAATGGTCCCATCATAAAGGGCGTGCTATTCTATTTACGGGTCATCTATAGTGATACCAATGCCAGCAAATGCTTATCCGACTCAGCGGAGCGATCCTTGGGAACGTCAGAATATAGGTATGATGGACTGAAATGCACTAAAACCATTTTGCAATTGATAGACGTTTTCTGCAGCTGAACGTCAGCCAGTGCTGCCATACTCATTTCACGGCATTTATTAAGATTGAGCCGGAGCTTAACTGCCACTACTTGACGCTGTATCGGTACTCTGTAGGCCTGTAAGTAAAGTACTCACCGATGCAGCGGGGACAGCATTGGCCCGGGTCGGTCACCTGGGGGCACGGACCCAGCTCGGGGCACTGTAGCTGGTCGCAGAAGCTGACGGCGTCCTTGCAATGGCACGTGGTGCACTGGTCCATCTGCCACGTGGCTCCTTCCTCGTACCGTTTGCCCTGGTGCACGCACGTCGAGTTCTCCTCTGCCGAGAGAAGAATATGTCAATGTCAGTCATTATAGAGGTTGAGAACGGAGAGTCTTTTACGATTCACCATCCGAACATTGCCGTTATCATGTTTTTTTTTTTGTGCGGGGTTAGTTAAAAAACCAATCAGGTTCGATGGTTTACGGTATTAGAACGAGCTGAAGTGATGCGAAAATTTCGTTATGGGCGTGAAACGAAACAACACCATTTGGTCTCGGTATAAAACTTGTATGTCCAAACAAAACAAATCAAATTTGTTGATAGAAGTCGTTTAGTCATACTGCGACTCGGCTCTATCATTAACGACAACATATCAACTCATCTTGTATACAAATACAAAAGAGAGAGAGGGGTTGATGTGTCAATATAATATAAGGGATTAGGGATTACGTTAGAGTCGATAAATTTCTGTAGGGATTGGTATGAATAGGATCTTCATAACGTGTCCAACGGAACGACAATAATATCCCATTGCAGAAATGCAATTGGTTCTTAAAATTTCTATCAATAGAACTTTTATCTGCTTGGAGATATGGCTTCTTTTCCGCTGACATATTGATCAGCTGCGGTAAGCGATGAACAAGGCAAAGATAAAATAGACAATTTTTTTTAAAAATAAAAACACGTCATCACCACGTCACCACGCCAAATTAACATTCAAGGAAAGACTTGCTCACGTGCCGGAATTGTACCCCAAAGAGGCGAGTCAGTCCGCCCGTTGAGAAGCACTAACACACCGCACAGGTAGACGGGACAGCAACATACCGCACTAGAATGTAGACGCGGCAGCAGGCGCCCAGTCGGTACTCGGTTTATCTACCAGCTGGTAGACGGGGCAGCAGTAGGCGCCCGGTCGCTATACCTACCGCACTGGTAGACGGACAGCGTACGCCCGGTGAGATCATCTTAGCCTACCGCACTGGTATACGGAATAGCAACTTACCGCACTGGTAGACGGGACAGCAGGCGCCCGGCTGTCCGGACGCGTCCATCAGGACACGGGGCCGCGCGCCGCCCGGACACGCCGGCAGAGGACACGGCGCCGGCTGGCACACGCACGCTCCCGGACAGCATCCCTCCGGGGCTGACCGGTAGCTGTCCGCAGGACACGGCGCCGCCGGCGGACAGCTCACGTTGGTGCACGGCGCCGCGGACACGGCAGGCGCGGCAGCCGGCGCGGCTGCGGCGCGGCCACCGAGCGTTAGTGGTGTGTGGGGTGGGGTTAGGGCGGCTAGGTGCTGGTATTCACACTCAGTTTGGGGTACAGGGTAAGCAAAATTACGGCGACAAACAGAAACAACAAACGGCGGCAGATTAAGGTTAATCAAACAAAAAGGATCAATCACACCATGCTGAGGGTATCTGATTGGACTCGAGAACACACAGCAGAGCCGAGCTAAAGTGTCAGCTGTCAAAGGGGCCTAATTATCGCTACAATGCTAGTCTACTTGAGGTCTGTTATCATGATCTCGGTCAAGGTTGGGCTGTGCAGCTCAGAACCCCGCCGCCCCAGCTGATGGATGGTGATCCAGGGTGACTGGTGAATTTCATGACCGGAGTTCTAGGCGGCCTCTAACAGTCCGCCGCTCAGCTGGGTCCAGGAACTCCCCCTCACTCACGACGTTCATTCTAAATGTAGTTAATCTCCGGTGACCCCAGTTGACCTCTGGCCGCGGCGCTCTCACCTTCGCTGTCCTTGCAGTCCCAGATGCTGCAGCAGCTGCCTGGCCTCCTGTCTCCGGCGCGGACCACGGTGGGCTGACCGTGCGCGCACTGCGGCCGCCGAGGGCACGACTCGAGGTCACACACACACTCGGCCACTGAAGGACAGCAGTCGGGCCGGGCCGGCGGCGCCAGTTTCAGCACCGAGTCCACCGGACAGCCAGACAGAGAGGTGCCCTCGGCCGTCGATAGACACGACACGTCGGCGCACGCGTCCGCTGCTGCTGCGGAGAGGAGGAGCGACATCGGGTCAGCGGGCGCACCGGGGACGGACGGCACTCAGACAACACGGCACACTCCGCACAATGAGCCCACACATACATAAGTCCGTCGTGGTTGCCGTTGGCAACTCCGGTCACCCCTCCTCTACCATTAAAGCGCTGCTCGTCCAAAACTCGGCCAAATGACTCGCCGCAAACACGATTCGGCTGCACGGTCCCTAATGGGGCGCCTGGCGTGTCTCAGATGAGATAGCGGGTCGCCGTATCCGCTGAGCAATGACCGTTCGTGGAGATAGGTCGCTATCACGGACCGGGGCGACCGTGTCAGCGTCCCGTGCAGTTCGTACTTATAGTCAGAGCGAACTATCAAAACATACACTTCCGTCGATAAACAGGGTCGGTGGCTGTGACCGACCGCCAGGCTGTTTATCCTCGCCGAATGGCATTATCGGCCTGTGCAGGCCTAATGGATTGATCTCGCTCTGAGTAACATCTCAGCGACAGCTAACAGAAGCCGCGCCGAGTCCGAGGGCAGGGGGCGGAGGCAGGTCACGTCTTGGGTCACGTCACACAGACCGTCAGCCACGTCGTCAGGGAAGCTCAGATGACTCATCCGGCGCCGTGAGCTGAATCCAATGAGCAGTTGATGGACAGACTGAGACCATAGCACAGGTGTTGATGGGCGTGCACATTGCAGAGGTGGCAAAGACGCCATTCGCAGTCATTGCATGAGCTACATGCACAAAAAAGTGACAGCCTGTGCAGAGTGATCCCAGATTGCGCAGCTACTCGTTTCGCCTTAATATCCATCTACCAAGAGGATGCCATGGAGCCATGGAGCGTTGCAAATGTTGTGCATTTGCCACATAATCTAGGTAATCATTGCTATTTTCTGAACATATAAGTACCTACACCGACTCCAATGGTGTACGTGTACCTAACATCTCAGTCGGCTATGAAGCGTAGAAATACAGAGCCGCAGCGTAAGTACCTATGGGTTGACCGTGGTGACGGCAATCAGGTGGCAGCGGTGGCGGTGGTGGCGGATTTATCGGCGGTGGCGGCGGCAGGTTTATCGGCGGTGGCGGGTTTATCGGCGGCGGCAGCAGTGGCGCAGCGGCGGCGGTGGCGGCGTGCGGCAGCCACCGTAGTAACACATGCCAATCATCTATCGGGCTTCGCTGTGGGGCGTCGCTGGCCGCGACTCTGATTCGATTTGCCGGCCGACCAAGGTCGCGCCGATCGCCGAGTCCGGTCGGACTTGCAGGCTTCCCCGGCCGAGCCAATTATGATACTACGCAGGCCATAGCACACGGTGCCACTGCCAATGGTAGGTACGAGCGTTTCCATGCGTAGTGCGCACATACCACTTCCATACCCATACTACCCCCAGAAAACTGGCTGTATCTATTTGTAATCCAGTTGATCTATGGATCAGGCAAGTCATGTGACAATGGTGACGATACAACCACCGTACATATATTGAATCTTTGACAGCCGATCTCAGCTTATGTATTGGTGTCGCGTGCCTCACCGCCTGTCACCAGGCCTGGTCACCAGCCACTGGTGAAGCAGCACTGCGGCTGGTCAGTGGTGAATGGTGACACATCGAACTCCGTACACTCACAGCACTCGTCGTGTGCCGGTCGGCTTTACGCCCGCGTATCGATTACGAAAAGTGAGTCACAACTCGGCACTGGACATCAGTGTGTCGGGTGTCACGTGAGTCACCTACGGCTACGTATGTAACACCCCTCTCTCCAAAATCCTCCGCTCTCTCCTACACACGGGCTCTGTTCAGTGTCCAGCGCGTCACCGCTATTCCGTCATTGCTGTGGATTGTTGACATATGACCTGGGTTCGAACGGGCCAGCTGCTGGGCTAGCTCCTACGGGCCAGACACACCCAGCTCGACACTGAATGGGCGCTTTGTGCATGCCATCTCTGATCAATGTTGCTCAGCGCTGGGATATACGAAGGACAGCCTCCTCGCGCTCCTTTCAGAGCCGAGGCGCCTTCTTTTAGAGGTGGTGATGCAGTCACGAAATGCACAGTAGCTGCTATATCAGCTCAGCATTAGACGAACACAGTTATCTATTTTCCGACAGTCACAGAAGGCAGTCAGTTTTTGTTGTCGGTTAGCGCATTCCGACATCGAGTTTGTAACTGTTATCCCATCCATCACCATCTAGTTGACGTCTGTCTGGAATCCTAACAAATTAGAGCAACACATTTCGACACTGGGCTTTCTTTTCACCGTTTATTCCTCATCGACCACCGTTGAGCCGCTACCTGCACTGCTGGCGGTACCTAAAGTGTAGGCGAAAACGCACCCTGCCGGCCCCAGCCACCGCCGCCGACGCGACGGGTGCAGCGGCGGGGTCACAGGCCGAAGGCCGGCAGAGGACCGCTATTTTGGGCCGCGATCCGACGGATTTAGACCGCCGCGGCGCGGTTTTGGCCCGGCGATCGCGATGGCCGGCCGAACGGGCTCGCTGGCCGCCAGTCAGGTGGGCTTCAGGAAGGTTAAACAGATTAGCAATCGGGACTGCCAGTTTCAACATTGTCTGCTTCATTATTATGTAGTTTCAGACATCATAATACAGAAATTTATGCAGCTTTCGATCTTTCTAAACACCTTTTCGCGGATGAAACGTCGCTTTTTCACGTTTAGTTACTGCCTAAAGGTCAAGCTACACGGGACACTTTTTCGGTTTTTGATTTTTCGGTTTTTCGCTTTTTCGGTTCGATTTATCGCTTTTTCGCGTCGGTTTTTCGATTTTTCGATTTGTCGCTTCGTGACTTGAGTTTTTCGAGTTTCATTGATTTTTGTTTAGTTGGAACGCGCTGTGCAACCGCCAGCTCTTTTTATTTTGTTTGCAACCAATGCAATGCGTTGGTCGCAGTTTTGCCAAGGGGCTTTAAGGGTCTGTTTTCTTGTCTGTTTTAACAGATGGAAATTACTTAAAATAGATCTCGTCTGTTTTGTAGTAGGAAATTAGGTGGCTTGACTAAACTTCCAGCAGCTTCTAGCCGGCGCCCCGCTGGGGCTCCTGGATTTCCACGCCCTGCTGGTAGGGGAAACACCCCTTCTAACTTGGCTCCTGAGCCACGTAGCGACACGCCGTAGCCGACACTTGAAAAAAACCTAAAAATAAGGAACAAACTGCTTCGGCCATTTTTAAGTCCGGTGTAGGCCAAAGGGCAGGTCACCAGAGATCATCGAAGGTAAAATGTCGCCAATATCTATAGGTCAAACTTCGACAATTTTCGACAAATCGGTCCATAGCTCAGGAATTGATAGGGCTATAGCGCCGCCGAGAGGCGCAATCAAACGTTCTTTTAACGTTCTTCCGCTAGCATGTCCTCAGATTTGACGTAAGGTTCACGGTTTATCCTGCAGGGGCATAAACGCCCAAAATAGACAACTCTGCAAAAACAGTTTTTCCGCAATAACTTTTGGCTCTAAACTTGCACGAGCTTTCCTTCACCAGAAACGTGTTTCTCTGGTCGAGACGCTTCGAATGAACATTAAGCTAACTGGACTGGTCTAGGTCATGACCTGGCCGCAAAGTTCGTGATACCTACATATCAGCCGATTTGTATCGTCCTGTGGAACACATCGAATGTGTTTTCATCGCTCTATAGTAGCATGCATTTATCGAAATTTATTACCGAAAATTGTGCATACCTTTCGCGACCTGATATGATCTCAGGGCATAACAAGGGGTCACGGGTGCCATATTCCGGTTCATTGTGTCATGTGTACCTACTTGCATAGGCGTAGGAACAGCATGTTATGAAGACAAAGAAGCAAATGACTCGAAAGATGGGTAGAAGGGAAAATATCCTGAACTCATACTGCAGTAGCGTTGATGCGAAAAGGGGGTTTTGCTTCGATTATTATGGGTGCAGAATGCACTGTCGGTACCTATTCGATAATTATTGTGGGTGCAGCTGCAGCTGCATCCACTGCACCCATGGTTCCTATACGCTTATGTGTACTTGTAACCTGAGAGTGTTTAGAATGACGTTCGTTAAAAAACGCCGTTCAGTTTTCAGTTTCTAGGCAATGGGGGGGGGGGGGGGTCGCAAAATTGACGTGGCCTTGGGTTACCGATATCGAAATTATGTGATATACATTTTGTGCATACTGCTACTCTCTTGAATTGCTGAAAGTTCCAAAGCCATCCGTTACCTGGTGTAGCAATGATAAGCATTGGAACATTTTCTGAGTTGGTCACTCTGACCACCTCACCAGGTTACCTGACCTGGTGACCTGACCTTGAGAGACCTTGGTCCTGAAATTTTCATAACATGTGTAAAAAAATGTGCTTGATAAGGTGTGCCAAAAACAGTGGCGCGAAACGTCACCCTTTTTTGAGATATTAGCGAAAAACTGCAGGTGGTGTTCAAACACCGCTCCCCTAGCAGGGCGCGGCTATAAACATGATGAACAGGTTTTACAAAAGATGAAATAAATACGTGCATATATCTCACATAATTAACCGCTATTCAATCCTTTCACGTGGATATGTGCATATCTACACTGAAATACTATTGAGCGATTACATTCCTTCCTTTCCATTAGGAGTACCGAAATGTGAATCGTCGGAAACATGCATCAGTATTACCACATCGTCACGTGCTGAAGCCGAAAAACTGAAGATTACTTGGAAAAGCTGATTGTCGATCCAAACTTTTGGGTTGGACGAGTCGCTTCGTTTTTTCGCTTTTTCGATTTTTGGAGTCGCTTTTTCGCTTTTTAGAGTCGTTTTTTTTCGATTTTTCGCGTCGCTTTTTCGAGTTGCTGATTTCGTTTTTTCGGTTTCGCTGCCGTGGAGCTACACCAATGTTATCAAGTGAAGCTGATCGTCTACTGAAGCCGAAAAAGCGAAAAAAACGAAACGAAAAACCGAAAAAGTGTGCCGTGGAGCCTGTACTTAAGACCTTTTTAATTTTCCTACACAGTTCTCAAATAAAAATCCGTATTTAGGTAT